ATAGGACAGTACGCGTCATTTTGCGCGCGCTGTTGCGGTGCACTTTATTGAGTAAACTGCTGTGTTTTTCAGCATTCATAACGACGTTTAATCGTTCAGAGATCAATCAATGGTTTGTTCGTTTCCCGAATTTTGTCATAGTTTTGATTAATTGGTAACAGGACATCGTGTCGTCCTATTCAGTCTGTAATCACACTCTTGATTAACAAATCGGACTCCCACTTCCCGGTCGTCCGATTTTGTTAATCACTCGTATGATTACAGACCGAATTGGACTCCACTCAGTCCTATTACCATTATTAATCATATACATGAAAAAATTACTCGATTACTTGTCTAATCCATCCTCCCGTAGTCCTTCTATCTCGGATACTGAGGAAAATCAAAGAGGATCAAGCAACTGCAGTCCTCCTAATTGCCCCGAACTGGACCGGACAGCCATGGTTTCCAGACCTCATTCAAATGCTGGTGGATCGCCAACTGCTGCTACCTCAGCGCCAATCTCTGTTGTTTCTCCCATTTCAGCCAACAGCATACCATCCCCTGTGGAAGTCCCTTCATCTAACAGTTTGGTCGCTATCAGGGACCGTTACCAAGCAACAGGCCTTTCAAAGGCAGTTGTTGACATCTTGTTGGCCTCACGGGGAACGGACGCCCAGAAGCGGCACTCAGGTCCCTGGAGGGGATGGATACACTGGTGTTCTCAACGGGGTTCCTGTCCCATTTCAGCTTCTGTAGCAGAGGTTCTTGCATTTCTTGCATCCCTAGTTACACAAGGCAATTTGGAATACAGGACTACAGCTCTCTATAGGTCAGCTATTTCTCAGGCTCATGACCCATTTGGCACTACTCAGTTAGGAATTCTCCCCGTTGTGGCTCGTTTTATGAAAGGGGTGTTTACGATTAAACCTCCCAAACCTAGATACTGCTCTACATGGAATGTTAAGACTGCCTTGTCATTCCTAGAGTCCCTTGAACCCTTAGAAGAATTGACACTAAAGCAGCTTTGTTATAAAACTGTTTTGTTATTAGCACTGACTTCAGCAGCAAGAGCTCATGAACTGTCTGCGTTGGACCTATTCTCTCAGAAAAGAGGGATCATGGGAATTTTCACTCCCCACTCATGTGAAGAACTCCAGACCTGGTCACCCAGCTCGGAAGTTTCTTTTCTTGGCATTCCCACTGAGAATCCTAAGATTTGCGTTTTTCGTAGTCTTACCGCTTATGTGGAGAGGACAAAAGGATGACGGAAATCCACCCAACTATTAGTGCCATTTGTCTCTCCGCACAAGGCAATTTCAAGTCAGTCAGTCTCTCGGTGGCTGTCAAGAGCCTTGCGTAAGGCTGGAATTGAATTGAATTACATTGGCCACTCCACTAGGGGAGCGTCTACCTCTGCCGTTGCAGCGGCAAGACTGTCTGCTGATCTTATCTTGGAAGCAACGGACTGGCCTGGTTTCTGTGCAGACCTTTGAATGGTTCTATCACAGACAGTCATCTGCTGGTGCCTTCGCAAGGGCTGTGCTTAATGGTTGGATTTTCTCAATCGCGGAATACCTCTTTGTTATACAGCTTACAGGAGGCTTTGTATTGTTGCAGGACATTAAGTTTCTATCTAGCCTCATTTGAGTATTTATTATTCATTATGCTTGTGTTACTTCGCCTTATCCTATTTGCAGAAGGCATTGTATTGTTGTAGGACCTTATGATCTCATCTAGCTTCATGTAGTATTATTAAATTGTATGGCTGTGTTACTTTGCCTTGTCCTATTCGCTTGGCAGTATTGCTTTGGTAAACTGCACCAGTATTGCGACTATCAGTCGGAGAGGGGTGAAGAAGAAATTATATTTCCCGGGAGGGTTACTTACCTGACGGGGAGATGCGGTTCTCCTCTACCTCCGTTGTTAGGAGAGAGAGCCTGGGAACGAGGTTGCGGTTTTCCCTCTAAGATGAGGATACAAAGGTAAACTATTCATTCTTTTCGTCCCTTTATTTACCCTCTCCCTACTCAGAAAGATTGTGTGCTCCCTGTGATCAGAGGCCAAAGAAAACTAAAGTGTCTGTCTCGTCAAAGAAAATTTCGGATGTTACGCTTGACTCCCCGCGTTCCCGGCCCAGGCTTACCCGCCTTAACATTTGGCGCCAGGTGTGAACATTGCCACTTCCGGCTTCTTTGCAACTGTGTTTCGCAGAAGTCGCGGACAGAACTTTTTATAATAACAAGCATGGGATTGGACCCATTTAGTGGCCATATGGCCGGACTGGTTGTAGATTCTTTCCTTCAGTATCCAGTGGCCTGTTCTTTGGTGTGTTGTATCGGGCTTTTCATTTTCTACCCAGTTTTCTATGAGAAAACAGACGCAACGAAAGGCTTGCGGTGGGTGATTTCTTGTATTGTCGTGTTCGTTCTTCTGTCAGTGGTGTCAATGTTTCTGAAGCCGACCCTCTCATTAACCGCTCCTCGTATCATTTTTCGACCAACACCTTCTTGCTCAACATACGACCGACCACCGCGCTACATCTGCTTTACTCTGAGTGGCAATGATCATCATCAAGTGTTCTACACCACAACGTGGCGAAAATGTCAGAATTCCGATACAAATATGAAGAATGCCAGCAAATTCTACGTCATCTCCTCCTGGATACCCTCGTTCGACCACTTTATTACAAGAAGGCCTGTGAAATTTGAACCCGAAAGCTCTCCTGGTGAGACCAAGATGTCTTATGTGTTGCCTGAAAATTATTGTGTGCGTGCTGCAGGTCCCCTGGGGGAGGACAGACTAAAAGTTGCATTTTACAGCATAAACGGAACCCAACATCATCTGCTCGATTCTGGTTACATCAACAAAACTGACCTCGAGGAGTTTCATTCTGGTTGGTACCTTGTGTCCAACTGCAAGTCTTACGTGTCAAACTGGCTTTTCAACTGTACAAGGGGATACGTAAGTTCCAATTATGTGCGATTGCAGCAGTATACCAGGCTTCTCCTTCTTGAACAAAGAGGTCAGCTCCCTCAATAAGGAGATTTGGTCTAGCATGACACAAAACGATGGTAGTGGTAGTTGTAGCAGTTGTAGGAGAAGTGTAGTAGTTTACACTACCGATAGTACAGGGGCAGTAACAGCAGCATGCACGCACGATGCAGTGGTCGTCTTTATCATTTGTGGTGGTTATTCATGGCTTTATGACAATCCTGGGAACTCTTCTGCATGTGTTTGATCATGAGACGAAATTATTTTGCGGGAATGGTGTTTCAAATGCTGCCTCCAGCTGTCCTGATTCAGGTTCCAAAACTGCTACTGGCAGTGTGACACTCAAATAGGTTCTGCACATACAGATCAAAGTTTTTCCACAAACAATGGCCCAAAATCTTTCAAATTACATTGAATCAACGATAAACTTGTTCTCTGGTGTACTCTGCAGCCCAGTTTATCAAAAGTACAATGGAATATATTTTTTGTAGCTGTTCTAAATTTGCACAGTTTGTTTTTGTCAATTATCATGCAGACTTCTTTTGATTTGCATTAGATGTACAGTATTCATGTCCACCTAATGGCAGCTCGAAGGAAATTGTTTTTTGACCCATGAAGGAATTTCACATTTTTTCCCCGCGTGAAAATAGGAAAATTGCAATAAAATACTAAATTTCTCTGTGAGACCACATAATGGCTTTATGTGCAGATGCTGTTGGAGAAAGGATATTCTGTATTGGTCTTTTGCAACTCTGCCCAACACAGCATATATTTTCTCCTAACTAGCCATCATTATATAAAGTTTGCTATCTCAGAATGGAATGTAGTTAGTACTATGAGAAGTATGAAGTGTAAGAAACCAGGTAAAAATATCTCTCACTGCTTTGTACCAGACAAGAAGTGTTCTGCTCAATTTACCACAGATTCTACAAAGATTTTCAACAATTCATGAAGAAAGATAGCAGAAAGTTTCCAAGTCCTGTTTGAGGGTCTTAGTTTTCAAGTTTCAGGGTCTTAATTATAATAGTAGGACTTTTAGGGTTCATAGTTTTCAAGACACCCCCTGATGGGACCCCTTTACACACTTTCGCTGTGATAAAGATTAATCTTATAAACATGCTGTTTTACTCCTTGTATTTGGATGCCCTTGACATCTTGTTTAAGGTTGACAGTTACTGGGTGACTCTCCACAAAACTTTGCATTGGGCAGATTAAGAAACAAAATTAAGTATCCCTTACCCAAAAGGACAAACCAAAAGTATACTTTAAGTAGATGACAAGAATATGGCATCAGTATTAAGTATAATTTAAGTATACCTGAATAATACTGCATGCAATGAAGTATAATTTCAGTACAGTTTGGAAAGTATACTTACAGTATACTGCATAAGTGAAAGTAATATTTACCAAGATGAAGTAGGTTTTAAACATAGTTGAAATGTACTGCACAAATTAAGTAGAAATTATTCTGATGCCTGACAAAGTAGGGAATAAGTATAGTGGAAATATACTCCCTGAAAAGACAGTAACTAACACTGTTATTTTAATTTAACATGACAAAAAAAATATTTATATTTTTTTTTGAAGAAAAGGTGGCATGAGGGAAAGCAGGGCTTCAAATAACAGCCGGTCAACGGCCAATGTCCAGTCAAAAATAGGTTTTGTCCAGTCAAATCCTTAGATGGCCGGATAATTTGTCCAGTCGTTTTACGCTGGTAAGGAAAAAATTTAGAGTTCCAAGTTTTAAATATTTAAAGGTTCAATATTATTGGCATTTGTGAAAAAGGAGGGAAAAAAGGCGGATGCTTAACTACCAGACCAAAACTTTTTATACATGATTCATAATAGTCGTTATTGTTTATTTATGGTCTGTGTGGGTTTTGTAAACATGACGTGAGAAGGATAACAAAACCTCTCAGTGTTGGTACAAGGGTGTGAAAATAACATTAACAAGAAAGCAAGTTTACATTCATTTGTCTACTTGTCAACATTTCCGTGTGAATCACTTAAGCTATAAATACCACGATTAACTAAACACTCTATATTCCAGGCTTTTCCTGCAATGAGATTGATGCTCATGTACAATAAGTGCTATGAAATTTTACTTGTTTCATACTTAAACATCATGTGAAGGGTGGAGGGGGCACTTTTATAGCGATAAGACGTAATCAGTGTTTGTCCAGCCAAAAATGGGATATGTGCGAGCAAGAATAGGTTTGACCGGACAATTTGACCGTCACCAGCCGGGAAATTATTTGAAGCCCTGGAAAGATGTTTTTAAATTGCATTTAAGGTCATAAGTGCAGTTCACCGTATGGATATGTCAGTGTGATTCAATTTTATCCTTGGTTAAAATTTTCTTCTCTTTTGTTTCAAACACATTATAAAACATTACCATACCCCAAAACAAAGCAAAAGTAAAATTTGAAGTGAGAATAAAATGAAACAACACCATATACAAACACAGTTTTTAAAGCAATCATGATAATTCCCAAAATTTATTATCTTTGATGGTAGATTGTATGGCAAGGGGTAAAATAGCCAGCCTTCAAAATTTTACTTCTCCATTTTACCCTCACTTTTTTCATTAATCAGTTTAAAATCTTATGAGTTTAGTGCCTGTAATAGGCTCTTTCCACAATCCAGTCCCATAGTACAAAATAGCACCTTCCTGAGATGCAAGCTATGGGTGTAGACAAAACCTGAACCCCCCTTCTGGACCCCCCCTTTCTGGACCTCCTTCTGGACCCCTCAATTTTTTCGGGGAAAATAAAAAAAAATAATATTATAAATTAAAGTTATATGCAGTACGTGTGCTACGTACCACCGCTTCTTTCGCACTTTAGTTTCCTTCGATTCAGCATTGAGCTCGAAAGAAGGTGTTCCCCTTCATGCAACGCATTTCAAAGTTCTTGTTTAGTATTTCCGAGGAGGATCAGGAACGTTTTGCCGATTAGCTACTCAGACAAGTTCCGCAAAACTTGTCATTTTCAAGTTGCATGGACTCCCGCCATTTTCTACGCCATTTTGTTTTCCGCCATCTTGGTTTTTTCCGCTGACCAGTACCAACGAGGGGCGTTGCTTGAAACGAGACGCAACGAGACACCCAAGATGGGGATGGTGAGTCAAGATCTGCATTTGCAATCCAGCTATTATCTCTTCAATCCTTTTCCATCTTTATGCCTTTTGTGTCCAAAATAACATCTAATATTTTAATTATCTTACATTCAGTGTCAGGAGATGGGGATGATCGTCGTCTTTTTCAGAGCGTGTAAGTTTTTTCGCTGATGACATTGTGTCTTGCATCCTATTTTTCTTCATTCCGTTCATAGAATTAGGAAACTTTTTCGTATCAACTGAACGTTTGATTTGTTTCCTCATGAAGTTTGGCTGGGATAAAATAAGACTGAAAAGCAAGCATTATAATCTAAATAAGTGATTCGTAAACTTTCTATTCAGAATATCGACATTGATTGTATTATATCAATCTTTAGAAGTGATAAAACTAAATGCATTTGTTTATGCAGTTTTTTTCTGTCTTTTTGCTGACATATAACTTTAATTTATTATTTTTTTATTTTCGCCGAAAAAATTGAGGGGTCCAGAAGGGGGTCCAGAAGGGGGTCCAGGTTTTGTCTACACCCGTGTGCATTGTTTTTCACTGATGGCAAGAATAATTTTGCTGGTCGTACACAAGAAATGAACACGTGGATCTGTAACGCAAGCGGAGTGGCAATTTTCGATTTTCCCGATGAAGGAACTGTGGATGACTACCTGAAGAGAAATGGTCTGTACCCTTCCTCTACCTATATTTTCCTTCGTACACAACCCCGTCATCTTTTAGGAGATGAATTCGAAAGCAGTGAGCCTACCGGAGCAGAAAGCCTGCCAACATCTGAAGAAAGGTCTTCCGTAGCATTCTCGACAGTTTTAGGACCTACCTTAACAGCTAGTGACAGGGAAGTGTGCAAAGTGTGTGGTTGTTCCTTTAACAATGGTGAAACATGTCTCCGATGTGAGCAAAACCACGAATACCAGCAGAGTCTATTGGCTGTTTGTGCGAAAGCAGCAGAAACAGAAGCCTGAATTGGAGTCGGAAGAAGAAGGACTGCATAGTGAGAACTTTGTTTCTCCAGTGTCTCTTCATAATATGGGAGAGCTGCGTGTGGCCCATTTTCAGGATGCCATTGGTAGTCAAACTGCGCAAGACAGTGTTGCTGCATCAGGTGTATTATGTGAAAAGGGAAACTCTTCTACCAGTAAAACAGTGGTAAGTGGGCCAGAACTATCTGCTCAAGAGACTGTTACTCCATCTAGTGTTTTGCATGAAGAGGAGAACTCCTGTCCAGGACCTTTCAGAGAGCAAGAAGACCTTTGTGTAATGTCATTAACGGTGCATCGTTCAGTAATTTGCAGTGATATGATTGAGCATTTTAAGGACACAAGAGTCATGAATTCTTCATTGTTATTCACAATCATCAATGAAAGAGGTAACAAAGAAGAAGGGGTGGGTGTTGGTGTAGAGAGAGGTGTACTCATTGTTCTGGAAACAATTTGCCGACTCACGATGACGATCGGGGAACGAGAAAGAGTTCCTTTCGTAAGGCATGATCACTTCATCAAGGAATGGGAAGTAGTTGACAGAATACTTGTCAAAGGATACCAATCAGTCACATATTTCCCCATATTCCTAACAAAAGTATTCATCTGTCACTGTTTGTTTGATGCTGAAAGTATGCTTTTGGAATCCTTCATGAAGTATTTGTCACCTGTGGAAGAAGACCTAGTGAAAGAGCATCTAGAGAAAACTTGCCTCCCAGATGACAATGACGAGTTGCTTGAGTTTTTGGAGAGATTCAATTGTAGATCGGCGGTCAGTTAACGTTCAGAGAATTTGAAGAAATTACGCCGGGGGGGGGGGGGTTCAAGGGCTGAAGCAGTATTCACAGTTTCAGAGCAGCTCTGGTATTGAAGGCGCCTACGATACATTAAAACCAACAACCCAAAACGTTCTTGAAATATTGGAGCAGAGACAAACACAGAGGTAGAGCGAGATCCCTTCAAGTTTCTGTAGCGTTGCATAAGAGGCTTAGACAATACCAAAGTAATCCACTTCTTGAGATTCATGACTGCATCAGATATCTTGATCACCAGTAAGTTGGAGCTGGCCTTCACCAAACTCGAGGGTGTGGGCTGTAGGCCCATTGCATGCACATGTGGACCTGTCTTAGAGCTCCCTTCCACTTACACCAATTTAGTTCAACTGAAGGAGCAGTTTAACAACATTTTCGACAAAGATACCCCAGAAATCAACATTATGTAAGTGCTTTTCTCTGATAACCATTGCTGTGGCTTACAGGGTTTTGTTTTGAAAAATTTCAGACAAGTTTGATTTTGATTTTTCATTTTTTTTTTATAGTTTGTTATTTTCGATAACACAAAAATAATCAAACTGACATGAAATGTTTAAAACAGAAAGGGAACTAGTCATTAAACCAAAGCAATTTCACCTCGAACATCAAAGATTTCTTATTCTTTATTATAAAAGGTTAATACCTTGCATGTACGTAATCCTATACCTAACAGTTGCTCACACTCTACTGTGGGTGGGAGGTAGTTACATCATTACTTCCCAGCTGGTAGGCAACAAAGACTATTGAGGGAGGCAGCCACAGTGCACGTTTGTTAAAAAATGTGTCTTAACCCATCGAAATCAGAGTTTCTTTGCATGAAAGTTTTTGTCATTTTATTTTGTTTTGCTCTCTGTGTGAGGGCAAGATGTTTAATTTGGTGAAATTTGGCCCCACCTATTAGGTGTGCAGGATAACAAATTTTCTTTTAGCCTATTAAGTTGCATGAAAGGGTATTGGATTAAACAAGGCCTAAAGATTAGAGCATTTCTGTGATGTTAGGGATGCCTCATTAAAACAAGTAAATCAGATACAAACTCTATTGATTTTTCATCCAAGCTCGTAAATGCATGACATCTATTTGTAGTAAGCTACTGGTAATTGCTTCTTATATTCTTTAATAGCTTAAACCTACATTTGCCAAAGGTTTTTCAAGATGAACATTGCAATATTCATGTATCTGCTATGATTTGGTTTTGTGGAGCAACTACCTCCCACCCACAGTAGAGTGTGAGCAACTGTTAGGTATAGGATTACATACATGCAAGGTATTAACCTGTGACAAGTTAGAGTAGGTAGTATTACTAAGAGTCAAATTCTGTCAGGGATAATTGGCTAAAAATGAGCAGTCATAATCTTAAAGAGGCTTTATCAGTTTTAGGTTTATTGTTCTTTTTTTCCTGATGAAGATTTATTTCAGGAAGAAATAAAAAAAATGGCAACACTGCAAAAAAAAAATTATTGAGAAGCCTGAGTCATGCCTGAGCTATGGTTTCCTATGCTTTATGATCTTGGCTGCTTTTTATCCTTGATGATGCAAGGGCCAATTCAATAAAACTCTTACAAGAGTAATTTACAACTGTGGCTATTGTTTTGAGCCTCTGAAACAAGAGGCACACTTGTAAATTACAATTGTGAAAGCTTTTGAATTATGATTCCAAGGTTTTCCTGCATGTAGACCACAGACAAAACAATTTAGTTTGTTATAGTGAAGCCTTGGAGCTGATGACTCATAGCTGCCGGAGCTTATCCCAGTTTCTGTAGCATAAAGCGGCTAGGAGTATTTCTACTCCCCCTGGATGGTGTGCTAGTCCATCGCAGGTCACTCCCCGCAATTTGTTAGGTTTCCCCAACAATTTGCTGGTACCCATTTATACTCCTGGGTGGAGAGACACTGTGAGAGCTAAGTGTCTTGCCCAAGAACATAACACCGTGTTCCTGGCCAGAGCTCAAACCTGGACTGCTTGCTCCAGGGACAAGCGCACTAACCATGAGGCCACCATGCCTCCTGCTTAGTTTGTTATAGATGTTGAAAAACCTCATTTTGTCAAAGTCATATTTGCAATCAGTCAGTTTGCTACCTGCATTACACATTGTTGTGTTTACTTATTTAGAAAACCTTGTATGACACAAGCCAAGGTAAAGTGTTCTGTTTGTTCAGGCTTGTAGGATTGTAGGCTTGTAGTAACATGGGTAGAGATGATCTTCGGAATGATTAAGTTTCTATACAGCTTACTGGGTAATGGCACACTTTTTTTAATGAATCTAGTTTCATATGCAAGTTTTTTTATTCAATTCCATTATTAGGTCATCTCCCCAATAGAAAAGTGGAGCCTTGGTTTTCTGCTACTTAAGTCCACTAAAGGGATGATATTTACTGAAATACTTTCTGATCTTGTGTTTAGTTTGGCTATAATATCACAGAAGAAAAAAGAAGATTAACATATAATGCATCATGTAAGTTGCTTTTATATGAAAGGAATTACAAAGAAATTGTTCCTTGGTTTTATTAATAGTATTTCAATCAATCAATCAATGAATCAATTATTTTT